TTCCGGTTTGAGGCTGATGCCTAAGGAAAGTTTTTGCTGTAGCAAGCTATAGCAAACTTTCCAAAAATGGTGTCAGTACTAGTCTATTTGTAGATTTAACAACTATAGAATATAACTATACAATAATATGTTTTACATCTAATTTTAAATTCAGCAGTTGTAAATAATAAATTTGATTTTCTTTCAAATACAAAATTGAAAAAAAAAAGATTGATTAATATTCACGTAATCGTGCATGTTAATCAATATAAACCATAGACACAGAAATGACAGGGCAATTTTAACAAGTATTTCTGTCTAATAACGTGAGGTAGAAAATTACCTCTAATCAGTTAGAACTTACAATACAAATAATAAACGATGAATCATCAGTAAACACATAAACATGTTTTAGGATAGTTCTGATAATCAGCCAATTCTGGTGATTTGCATGTTATACAGAATTTCAATTTATCTCTGAATCAAAGAATTTGCACCTACATATACTTCAGTAAAAATTGATAATTTCACCATGCTGTGAAGCATGTAGTTACACTGTTTATCTTTATTTTAATTCTATCAATAATATACCTTGATACAAGGTAAATGTGCTACCAAGACCTATTAAATCTATTTTCAACATAAACCATTGTCTTATGCCAGGCTATGCATGATGTCAACTCAATAGTCACATGAAAACTGTAAGGTGCACATGTTAATGTACACAGATGTACCTAATTAATTTACAAACAGAATATTTTCAAGCTATCATTATTAATATCTGAGCTACACACTTAATCCAGAAATTTATATGAACACTGGATATCAGGTCAATAGGTTCATGGCAATATGAAATATGATTTTCTGATTTAACTTCTTCCAGCTAAACCACAAACAAAATAATGTTGACCAACATTGTACCATGTATACCTACTGAGGAACAGACACCATCCTGATAATTTACCCTGATCACTGGAGTGTGAAAATGAGGTCAAGTCAATATGGCATATGTCAGATAGAGTGCTGATAGACCTATTTATGTACTTTTTTTCTACCGATGAACAGACCAATAATTGTTGACTATCATTTAAAGTGACTCAAAATTCCTTGAAAATTTAATCTGACCACTGAGACATGAAGTTGTGATCATTGTCATATGACATATAAACAAAAGGCACCAAGGAGCCTGTCTGGCTCACCTGTCATTTTTGCATAAAATTGATACAATGCAATAAGAATATTTGTGTGGAATGGCTGACTAATTTTGTTTAACACAAGTTTTTGTCTATTCATTTAAGCTTTCAAGACAAAAGGCAATAAAATGCTCCTGGGGCGCAGCTTGATACGACCGCAGAGGTCGAACCCTGAACAGTTGGGGCAAGTATGGACACAACATTCAAGCTTGATACAGCACTGAATTTGGATTGTAATTAAATATTTGACACAGCATAGGTTTCTGACACAGAATGAAAGTGGTCTAAGAACTTAAAAATTTATAATTTACCTATTAAAACCATATCATTATTATTTGCTTTTATATATATATCAGAAATAACCAATTTAAAATTGTAAATTTTAAAGAAAAAAATCCCCCCCCCCCCCAATTTTTTGAACCCCCTTATGATTCATCACCCCCAAACTCAATCCCAGCCTTCCCTTTGTGGTATGGTACCTTGCAGTACAATTACAGAGAGATCCATGCACTTGAACACAAGTTATTGTCTGGAAACTAGAAATACTTGTTTTTGGCCCCTTTTTGGCCCCAAATTCCCAAACGTTTAGGGCAATTACCCCAAAACTCAAACCCAGCTTTCCCTTTGTGATATGGAACCTTGCAGTTCAATTTCATAAAGATCCATAGACTTACACACAAGTTATTGTCCTGAAACTAGAAAAATGCTTGTTTTTTTGCCCTTTTATGGCCCCTAATTCCTAAAATTTTGAGGGAATTACCCCCAAATCAATCCCAGCCTTCCCTTTGTGGTATGGTACCTTGCAGTACAATTTCAGAGAGATCCATACACTTGAACACAAGTTATTGTCTGGAAACTAGAACTAGAGGCTCTAAAGAGCCTGTGTCGCTCACCTTGGTCTATGTGAATATTAAACAAAGGACGCAGATGGATTCATGACAAAATTGTGTTTTGGTGATGGTGATGTGTTTGTACATCTTAATTTACTGAACATTTTTCCTGCTTACAATTATCTCTATCTATAATTAACTTGGCCCAGTAGTTTCAGAGGAGAAGATTTTTGTAAAAGATTACTAAGATTTACGAAAAAATGGTTAAAAATTGACTATAAAGGGCAATAACTCCTAAAGGGGTCAACTGACAATTTCGGTCATGTTGACTTATTTATAGATCTTACTTTGCCCACATTTATTGTTTTTTACAGTTTATCTCTATCTATAATAATATTCAAGATAATAACCAAAAACAGCAAAATTTCCTTAAAATTACCAATTCAGGGGCAGCAACCCAACAACAGATTGTTCGATTCATCTGAAAATTTCAGGGCAGATAGATCTTGACCTGATAAACAATTTTACTTCTTGTCAGATTTGCTCTAAATGCTTTGGTTTTTGAGTTATAAGCCAAAAACTGCATTTTACCCCTATGTTTTATTTTTAGCTGTGGCGGCCATCTTGGTTGGTTGGCCGGGTCACGCCACAAATTTTTTAAACTATTTACCCCAATGATGATTGTGGCCAAATTTGGTTTAATTTGGCCCAGTTGTTTCAGAGGAGAAGATTTTTGTAAAAGATTACTAAGATTTACGAAAAATGGTTAAAAATTGACTATAAAGGGCAATTACTCCTAAGGGGTCAACTGACCATTTCGGTTATATTGACTTATTTGTAAATCTTACTTTGCTGAACATTATTGCTGTTTACAGTTTATCTCTATCTATAATAATATTCAAGATAATAACCAAAAACAGCAAAATTTCCTTAAAATTACCAATTCAGGGGCAGCAACCCAATAACGGGTTGTCCGATTCATCTGAAAATTTCAGGGCAGATAGATCTTGACCTGATGAACAATTTTACCCCGTGTCAGATTTGCTCTTAATGCTTTGGTTTTTGAGTTATAAGCTAAAAACTGCATTTTACCCCTATGTTCTATTTTTAGCCGTGGCGGCCATCTTGGTTGGTTGACCAGGTCATCGGACACATTTTTTGAACTAGATACCCCAATGATGATTGTGGTAAAGTTTGGTTAAATTTGGCCCAGTAGTTTCAGAGGAGAAGAATTTTGTAAAAGTTTACGGACGACGGACGCAAAGTGATGAGAAAAGCTCACTTGACCTTTCAGGTCAGGTGAGCTAAAAATGCTTATTTTTGGCCCCTTTTTGGCCCCTTATTCCTAAACTTTTTGGGCAATTACCCCCAAACTCAATTCTAGCTTTCCCTTTGTGATATGGAACCTTGTAGTACAATTTCATAAAGATCCATACACTTACACACAAGTTATTGTCATGAAACTAGAAAAATGCTTGTTATTTTCCCTTTTTGGCCCCTAATTCCTAAAATTTTGGAAGCAATTACCCCCAAAATCAATCCCAACATTCCCTTTGTGATATGGAACCTTGTGGTACAATGTCAGAGAGATCCATACACTTACACACAAGTTATGTTTGGAAGTTACAAAAATGCTTATTTTTGGCCTCTCTTTGGCCCCTAATTCCTTAACTGTTCGTACCATAACCCCAAAATCAATCCCCACCTTCCTTTTGTGGTATTGAACCTTAAGGTAAATTTTCATTGAGATCCATTCACTTAAACTAAAGTTAGAGTGCGAAAACTTATGTGTCTTCGGACGACGACGACGACGCCAACGTCATACCAATATACGACCACAAAATTTGTTTGCGGTAGTATAAAAACAAACAAAACAGTTAAAATTAGGGACAACAACTCATGTTAGGACTTAGGAGTTGATTGACAATTCAAACATACTAAATTAGTTGTAGATCTTGATCATTTGGTTTATCTGTTTTGAAGTTTATAGTTTCCTCTTTCTTCTATAGTTTCCGGGGCCTCTATGGCTGAGTGATCTAAGAAGTTCAACTACATATAACTAGCCTGTCAACACTCTGGTTATAAGTTTGAAACCCACACATGGTAGGTGCGTTCTATTCCAATCTTAATTGATGAGGATTGTCAGTTTTCCTGTTGAAGTCAGTGGTTCTTTCAGAGCACTCCAGCTTCCTCCACAAGTAATAAACAGCTGCGCCATGAGCGCATGATACGCCCGTCGTCTTGTGTGTGAATTTTTATGCAATAAGCATAAATAGTTTCTGACATACGGCGCGACATGTGAAAACCCCCCCTTTAAAAAAAAAAAAAATCAATATCTCAAAAATAAAATTTTGAATCAAAACCAAAAAGTATACAGATCTTAAGATTAATATAACTAAGAAATGTGTAAAATTTTAAGCAATAATCATAAATTGTTTTTGAGATACGGCGCGACATGTGAAAAAAAACACACACCTGTTTTAGTTACTAAGTCCTGTAACTCAAAAAGTTTAAATCTTATTTTCACCAAAAAGTATACAGATCTTTGACAATCATAAGAAACAACTATGTTAAGTTTCATGAAATTTGGATAAGTCATTCTCAAGTTACGGTGCGACATGTTTACGCCGGACAGACAGACAGACAGACAGACGGACACCGGACATTTGTATACCATAAAACGTCCCATTTTTGACGGGCGTATAAAAACTGACTGCCATGTATAGCCAATACATTGCAACAGTGCTGAAAGTGGTGTTAAAATACTAACAATCAATCGATCTATAGTTTCCACCAAAAATGTTTTAATTTGGTATAGATCATCATTAAAGGACAAAAAATTCTATAAGGAGACAAATGATGATTTCGACCATTGTGAATAACATTGTATGGTTCAAAAGATAACATCCAAAAGTCAAAATTCTTTTCAGATTCAAAGGAAATGCAAATCCTGCTTATGATAATAGTATAAACCGCATGTAATTAAACTTTTTTTTACCTTGTCCTGTACAGCTGAGTCAAACTGGTTCCCTTTACTGGTTCTGTCTGTTGACAATACTACACTTCCTGCAGAGGTAAAGGCTATGGAACGTGGTGTAATAACGAAATGCAGTACACCTGTATTTCCTTCACCTGTCGAACAAATTTTTGTATTGTTTGAAAGGTCTCAACTAATTACTTTTTTAATCCCAATTAACATAGTAACTCAAATTCTTATAGTAAATTTAATTATTACATTTAGAGGGAAGTCACCTCTTTTTGAGAAATTTGAGGGAAGTGGAGTACATATTGTAGATATAAAAATACAGTTTTTTACTCAGTAAAATTTTTTGTTGAATAATCAGTAATACTGAACTTATTTTTCATACAGTATAAATTATTATTTTATTGATATGACTTGACTGACTAGAAGGAGACAATCTCTAAACAACTCCCAGTTTCATGTCTGGACCCAGTGAAACATGACAACAACTTATAAAATCAAAGAGCATGATTGCCCTGAGGGATAAGATTGCCATTGTTTTCATTGATATTTATAATGACAAAGTTCTTGTGTGATTTTGGTCCCATATACACTGTTTGGTGGTGCACCTGACAGTCGGAAAGTAGATTATGCAACAGGTAACAGGTACAATTGGGATCGGGCCTGGAATGTGGTAATTTTCAATCAACAACATATTAGTTAGATTTCGCGTGCAGTTACGTCTATTGAGCAGGCACGACAGCGTATAAGACAAAGATTGATAACGGTCTCCGAATTGGATATTTTCTCAAAAATTGGCATTTTCTGTGGAAAAACAAGTGTTTCAAAGACAAATTTAGGAAGAACAAAACACTAGATCTATACATGATATCACAAATATTTCCGACTTTGAATGGTTTCAGAGGATTTGGGGCTCAATGAAATCAGTCTCTTCCTTTAGTAGTATAGATTCCTTCTAAATGTTATCAATCCCACATACTAAGTGTCAAAAATATACATTTGTACAAGCACACAAAAGTCAATCTGTTCTTTCTTTGGGTTTACGATTCATATGGCCCAAAATGTTAAAATCCTAGACGTCTTCCAAAATTGCACACATTTAAATGATGATCGCGGGCAAGATTGTAAATTCTATCATTAATGAAAAGCTTTTTTGGAAAACGGTATCTCAATTTAACAAAAAAATCTAATTGATTAAACTAAACCCTGTTTTTTATGTTCTTCAACTTTCAACTCTGTATTTGATTCGACTTTCGTACTGTTTTGATTCATGTGCCACTGATGAGTTTTATGTAGCATTTCTCGCGTACTACATGTACTAAATTATAAGTTCCATACATTTTTTGTACATGAGATTTTGCTACTCATGCTTCTGTATCTTCTGTCAGTATGAAATAATAAACCTTTTTCTTCTGATGCATTTCTTGATTATGTCCACTGTTCATTTAATACATTAAACATGTTTAAGAAAATTTTGATGACTGAGATATAAATACTAGCTATTCATTGATGTCTTGTTAAAAAAAAAAGCTATTCATCATGTTCATTGATGTCTAAATTACTTTCCCCCATTACAAATAACTGAGTACATTTTAATTTCTCAGTAAAATACCAAAAACAATTAAAATTTGTTTTTCCTTCAAAATTTTGCCCTTTTGATCAAATTTACCCAATCCAGGTAGTACAATAAAATTCCATGAAATTTGGAAAATTCAAATTAATGGAGTGATCGAAGTGATCATAATATAATGACTGGATTATTTGGGATGCCCTGTATGACATTATGGCACTTCTTACTGCAAACAAAACATTCTTGTTCAAAACCATCATGCAGTTCAACACCACCATAAATTGACTTCAAAATTTCTACTAGTTATATCAATTTCACCGTTAATCTTCTGAATATTTCGTCTGCATTCCTTCACTAAATTCTTCTGTTCAAACACGTGTGTACATTGAAAACACATTTCGTGCTCCATTGTACATGTTTACAAACAATTTTAAACTCCTCCTTTTTCGCGCCATACGTCAGGATACATTGATATGATGCACCTTATTTTTAATTTCCGGTTGATCTGCGTTAATGGAGTGATCGGAGTGATCGTAATTATATGACGACGGAATTATTCGGGTTACGGAATTCCCTCTCTGACGTGATTCTAAATATATAAAACCCTCAATATAAATACTGCTTAATTCTAATTTTCCGTATTGGAAAATAAACGCAAATGAAAAAGGGAGATATCAAAACAGGAGGATTATCAGAAGAAATTTAACAAAATGTTGTTAAAATTCAATCTCTTTGTTTGTTTTTACTTTTTATGACAGGACAATCTTAAGAATCTGAGTTGTTCCTATTAATGTAAACACAAAACGGTTGACGTGAGTCTCTTGGAAGGGAGTCAAGAGTAAAAGTCTTACAGATTGCCTGACGGCACTCGTATATCAATAAACACATGGTTACAATGGAGAAATTTCTTTCAATTTTTTACCACCATGACCGACCTAGTAACATTTAACTTACTCTCAATGTCAGTTATCAATTGTTTAGTTATACACATAAGCAGACATGGTAATTTACTACATGTAACATGTTAATTTGTCTAACTTGACTTAACATGATCATAAATGAATAATTAAACCTATAGTACATGTACATTGTACCTACCTAACCTTGCTTGTAGGTATATCATTGACTGGTGAAGTACACTCCATATTTCTGTTTCCAGGAGTGGACTACCACGATACTCTAGTACTTCACGTAATGTTACCGTAATTTCAGCTGTAGGCATTTTGTCTTATCTAAAAACATTGATAGAAAATGAAATATACAAAAAAAATTACAGGACCACCATAAAATATTGAACATACATGTACAATGTATTATCTTATTATAATGTAAAGATCTAGTCTTGCTTAAGAGTTGCTCAAATATATGATTCATAAGATACACATTCAATATTCAAAAAAACATTACGGAAAAAGGAAGTGGCCTATTTCAATGTTAAAATTTTCATGGTTGCATATGATTTTATGTTTCTTGAATTTTCTCAATATATCAACACTATGATATGTACAATGTATGATATTGATAAAGACGTAAAGAAAGAACTCTTAACACAATGAATCTGAACAGATTAATCTAAGAATGTACTCTCACCAATATCCAAGCATTTTTGTAAAATCTTTTATTATTTATTTAACATTTTAAACTCCCACCTTTTAAGGAACTCAGCAATATTTACAACTCTGAACGAAGAACACAACTGATCAAGGGTAATTACCAACAATAATAAGAATTTGACTTACAACTAAGCATAGAAAATACATGTACATGTACAATATAAAACAAGAATATGTGCTCATAGAACACAATGTTTTGCTTGCACTTAGTATCACATTCCCATATTCTGTGAACTGTGAAATCAAATTCAAATCAGTTATTTGGCATATTTTAAAATTGTTCACATCATAATGATTGATTGATTGGCGTTTAACGCCACTATCAGCACTATTAGCTATATCATGGCAGTCAGTTTTTTTTTGTTTGAGGAAGCTGGAGCCCCTGACCTTCTGTAGGAAAACTGTCAATCCTAGTCAATTAAGATTGGAGTCGAACCACCTGCCAAGTGAGGGATTCAAACAAACTCACAACCTAAGTGTTGGCAGGCTAGTGATACAGTAGTTGGACTTTTTGGAACACTCAGCCACCAAGCCCCTGGTCCCCCAACCACTTCATAATAAACATGTGAAAGTTCAAAGTTGATGTGACCATTACTTCATGGTAAAATAAATAAATAAATAAAAAAATTTAACCTGAGAATGTACTGGTCTCACGTGCTCACAATCACAATGTTCAGTTCACAGTGTAATTGGGGTCAAAACCGTAATTTAACATATGATTCAAAAAGTTCATCATGGACATGTGTTGTACTGGTACATGTTGTAAGGATCAATAAAAAATGACACCTTGTTTACTTTTGTTGCTGTTCTAATGACTGTGATTGAAAGAGTCATTAACTTAAGCACTAATTAAAGTTAAGCAAGATGTAATCTAGATATAGTAATATGAAAAGCACTAGTTACATTGTACAGGGAAGGAAAAACAGATTCAACTGTTGATGGAGACAATCCTGAAAAATGCATGTGACTGAAACAATGGACTTGAACTAATTACATTGCAAAATCATCATCATCAAATGATAATGATTTTATAAATATGATAAACTAATTCCCCCCAGGAATATTGACTATTAAATGATTTTTTTCATTAATTACAAATGATACCAATAGTCTGACTATTGCAGTCTAAAGAACTAATTTATTCTCATGATTGCTAGATAAGATTCAAAATCAAATTTAATAATAGAAGTTAATGAACTATCCATACTGATAGGAACCAACACCTGGTACCCTGGTATATGTGTTTAATTCAATTCAAGTTCCTAAGGGGGCAGTTTATCAACATAAACAAACATTACAGATACAACATATACATTTGTTTTACTGTTTAATAACAACAAAAGGACAGATTTAGAAATTTTAAGTTTTATGCATGCAGAGGGACAAAATTAAAGAGGACACAAAAAATGGGGAATGCGTCATTGGGACGCAAATGATGCCCCTGCATGCATATAACATTATAAAGGGACATAACTCAAGTAGTAAAAGTGACGCTTCTTAAATTCGTACTTGATCCGAGTTTTGTGGAAATAAGCATTGAGTATAAGTTTCATAACATTTAGATGAGGCAAACTTACGTTAGAGAATGGAAACGAAAAATTCAGCATTTTTTCCATTTGTAAAGGGGCATAACTCTAGAACGGTAAAAGTGCACCACCAATATTCAAACTTAATCTGTGTTTTGTGGTAATAAGCATTGTGTATAAGATTAGTAACATTTAGTTGAGGCAAACTTAAGTTAAGAGAACCGAAATGAAAAATTCAGCAATTTTTCCATTTGTAAAGTGTATACCTCTAGAAAGGTAAAAGTGACTCCACCCAAATTCAAACTTGATCTGTGTTTTGTGGTAATATGCATTGTGTATAAGTTTCATGACATTTGGTTGAGGCAAACTAAAGTTAAAGAATGGAAACCAATTTCGATACTTTCAGACGTACAGATGGACAAGGGTAAAACTTAATGCCCCTCCGCTATGGCAGAGACATAAAAATTAATTGGGTTGACTACTGAGCTAATGTAAAGGAGACAACAGGGGACGGTGCTTAAGAGTCACAAATTGTACATATACGATTTTCCCAATGTCTAAACCAGCAAAACAAGTAGTTTTAAAGTGATGAAGACAGACAATTTAGTTGGTTGCTCAGCAGACACCTAGAAACAGTGATTAAATATTGTGACCTCCTAGATCTACTACTAGTTTTAAGATCCTGGCCTGATACCTCAGAAATGCTTACATCCTCCTTAAATGTACCAAAATCCTAATAGAAACAAGAAGAAAAGACAATGTCAATGATCTAGGGTTACATGTAAGTGTCCATTTTACTCATTTATCAGTGATTACAATACTCAATTGATCTCAACATGCTCAAGAGAACAATTTTTTTAGCCTGTATGCAATTCATCAATTTACAAATGTACATGTACATGCAGCAGAAGTGTGATAATTATTACGAATTCATTTGATTTACCACTGATAAGGATAAACAAAAAAGGTTCTTACAATACATGTTTTTTTCAGTGCTATGGTGATTATTAAGACTTCTGTAGATGTACAACAGCCATATTGTTACATGTACATAAGGAAAATGCATGCGAGCAATGCCATTCATTCTTTTGTAATAAAATGTAAATACATGTACACCTTAGTACATGTACATGTAAACTTGTTATGAGTATAAATGAAACACAAACCTAGTTAATAGTCTGATTCTTATCATTTCTGGTTAGTTTTGTCCTTAAAGAAGGTAGACTTCTGTGCATTTTGCTTACGACAAGTGTGAGGTGCACATATTTTTTTCAAGTACAATAGCTACATTTATATTTTCTTTATTTTATTCAAGGTCATATATTAGTACGTTTTAAGTCCTTGTTTCAATACACTGATAGAAGAAAATAAACATTTGTTCAAGAAAAGACGGCTCAGTAGTCAGCATTTCAGTACTGACATCATTTAAGATTTATATAACATAGAATAATCTTAACTTATCTTTATTTATTTCAGACTCAAAAGGTCCATTTGCCCTAAACAATTCATTCCTACATATAAATACAACGAAATTTGAAAATTAATTAAACAGCAAGTAATTGACTTTTTCAATAAATTTATAATTTTTTTTATAAATATATATAAAATACAAACTTTAGGGTCGCTAATTTTTTCTTCTTGTCACTGATTTTTTTTTCTTGGTGCTAATAAGTGAGAAGTAAAATAACAAAAATACCGAACTCCAAGGAAAATTCAAAACGGAAAGTCACTTATCAAATGGCAGAAGAGTGAGAAGACTGTTATAAAATTATGTACCAGTATAATATGAGGAAGATGTTAGCTGTAAAAGAGGATGAAATATTTTTATTTATGATACTTTTTTGGTAAATTTATCAGAAATCAAAATTTGCGGAAAATCGTATGCTTTACGTGACAGCCTCTGTCAACAAGGAATGCACAAACCAGGGTTTGAAATTAGTGGTCGGCCACTCGCCATTGGTGAGTAAATTTCAGTGTAGGCCCATAAAGATTCTCTCTCTATCATATGTCTATCGCCCACTTGGCGAGTGAATATCAAATTCCTGTGTGGGCCAATAAAAATCCAGTCTCTGTCGCCCACTTTTTCAGTGTAAATAAAAATTTAATAAAAACAGAAATATTACCAATATATTTTTAAGAAAGGAGTCTTCCGACTTTGTTTACTTAGTTTTGCGCAGGCTTATTTAAACTGGCCACCCGCTGATTAGTGCACCGCCACAATCGTCTAGATAAGAATGTTTTTTTTTCTTGTTATGGAAAATGTACTCCTGTATCCGGAGCACTTCCGTTTTGATGTCATTTGGCTGTTCTGTTTAACCCGTGACGGAACAGCAGAACGACACAAAACAGAAGTGCTGCGTGATTTTCAATTCTGATACTTCTCCTTGCGTAATTGATCTTTTGTGATTATTCTATTTTTAAAGGTGATGAATAAAGTTAAGCTGTGACCAATCTGAAGATGAAAATTTCTCTGTCACCAATGGTCACTATTGTTTTTCTCATATGGAAATTTATACACCCTTCTCCTGACCTAGCGATTATTATTATACATTCATAAAATCCAGGCCACTATATTTTCTTAGCTTCAAACCCTGCAAATGCAAAGGTTGTAAAACAATTTACAATTTGGGATTCACTAGTAAATTATTTTTTTTACTGATTTTTTTAGTTGATTTTCTTATTGTTATTGTGTATTTTACATGTCAGTTTCTGTATGTGATATGTATTAACTATGACCAGTCAGGGGTACTACTTAAACAAGTGATTTCAGAATCACTTCCTCAAGTGATTTTGGCTGTGAAATATTAAAAATTTTCACACAGACTTTTTTAAATCACTGAAACAAGTAATTTTAGAAGTTAAAATGTAATCACTTTAATAAGTGTTTATAACATTTTCTTGATATTTTTCCCACAAGCTTGATTTTTTTATTGGTAAAAAGACAACAATTCCATTGAAAAAACAACTATGTACATGCAGAAACTGTCTTTTGCTTGATAAGCCTGACACTTTTACAGTTTTTTTAAAATATGCAAAAACTGGAATAGTTTGTAGATCAGGTCATAACCTTGAAGTAGATCATTCTAACTCTAAAGAAACCAATCAGGTTACCTAATATTGTTGATCTTTGTCTGATAGTAAGAATAGTTAATGAATTTTTGATTACAGAAAAATTCCCAAGGGTACTTTTAAAAGCTTTAGCGCACTAACTTACTGCCCAAGCGCACTAACTTACTGCCCAAGCGCACTGGTGAAATTAATATACAAAGAAAAAGGGATAATTGATTTATGTAGGAAAATTATAGAAAAGATTGTGAAAATATGGAAAATCAATGAAATTAGCATTTGAAGATCAAAGAAAACACTAAAATCACTTAAATAGGTGATAACTGAATTTATCAAATCACTGAAATAAGTGATGATGAAATCACTTGTTTAAGTAGCACCCCTGACTGATGACCCCAGATAAAATTGGCTATAATTAGGTAGTGTCAAGTACCGTCAATACATATGTTCCTGGGACAAGACAAATGTATATTGAATTCCACTATTGAGTATAATTTTTGTTTGCATAGGGTAAATCTTTTGACCGTCATGGGGCCAGTATTGCGGGCGCCAATTTCAAGTGGTCATCTGATCCATTGAAACCAATGGTTGGGTATAGCTTATCAAGTAACAAATATAAAACACAACAATATAAACGTGTATGACTAAGTTGCTAAAAATTATAATGAGTTCATCGACTTTCAAACTTGATCGTTTTTATATGTAATCGATTGGCGTCATGTCCGAGTTGTATATAATGTTCTCATGTTGTAAAAAGTATGTCAGATCATCACCTTATCAAAATCTTCAACAGAAGATACTATTAAACTGTGTAAATTGTCATCGAAAAGTTTTCAAGCACAGAAGATTGTAACTTTTAGCCGCCATTGCCTGTCAATCCTAATTTGTTGATGTTTGTTTCTGCGATTTTGATTGGCTAAAAAGTTTTGGAAGATCACTGTCAAGAAAAGTTAACTCTTTTAAGTAAAGGTGTCTTCGGAGACGTCCGCGTTAATTGCGTTGTACCACTAACAAAAAAATTATTTAGAAAATAAAAATATTGTACATTTTTCAACCTCGTTCATAAGAGGCATTATCTACGGTTTTTAAAAAAAAACTAGTTAGACATTTTTTTGAATAGTCCATTGTTTTTATATGCGAGCAATTTAGTATGTTCCGTTAAAATGTGTGACAGAATATAATTTCCAGCCGTGACCCTAAGAACTATTGTTACTTAACAATAGTTCTATTTGGAACTTTCGCAATATAATATTCATTGCCGCAATATAATTTCATACACAATGGGTAAAATATTATACAAAGAAAGTTACTATCGGAACATTTGTTACACTAATAACCGGATTATTTGGAACAAATATTATGTTGGAATTTATAAGCATTGCATATTGATTCCTATAACGCTTTGAGAGAAACAATAACATAGGAATATCAAAATTGAAAAAAAAAATAGTTGTTAAATTGCAAATACTAATATTTATGACAACACTCATTTCAAATCAACATTTAAAGTTTTTCAAAATATTTCGTTTTCAATTTTTTTTTTTTTATTATTATAGGGAAATAAATGGGAATATTTATTATGTAAAAAATTACCAGGAATAATACTCATGTAAGAGTAGTTTTTGGAATAATCAATATGTAACGGATATTCATAGCCTATTTATAAAAAAAAAAATAAATGTAATAATCATGTTAAATCTGATTCGTGGGTGGAAAGCCTATAAACGAAATTTTTTGAAATCTTATTTGGGGAAAAAAAATAAATTAAAATTCATATTCAATTTTTTATATGCACCTTAACAGATGAGATATAAGTGCATTAAAAATACTGATGTATAGGGAATATATTATAACATGTATGATGATTATTTGGCCTGGTAAGGCAGTAAATGCAAAATAGTAATCATTCCTTTCAACTGCACCCATATTGCAAATGATTGACAAAAATAAATATTTGTAGACTTTCATGAAGTGTATCACAAAATTTGGATTTTGCATGATTCGTATATATGAACTACTACGTAAAATGCACTCAAGTGTAAACAATCAAATGGTATATAATTTACGTTCCGAAGAACTTTTGTTAACTACCACTTTGTTACATGTGGAACATATATTATGCGAACAGATATACAGTTCCTAGAGTAGGAAACACACATCCTGAGCGCCGTCGTTTGGAATTCAGCGAAACACCACTCGAGGAACAAGGAACACAGCCGACCACCAACACTCCTCCGTTGATCATTAGTCCAACAGAACTTACTCCACAACGGTAAATCTAGTCGTGCTAGTCGCCCACCTGCCTGGCATTCAGATTATAATATGGATTAACAATCATGACATTGGCCCTTTGGATTTTTCTTTTTACATTTCAACTAACAGAGATTAGTGTGAATATTATCTTTTCCAAAGTAACAGTGGACAAGTGTTTGCCACCTTTAATGGAACATTACAGGAGCCAAAAATGAAGGGGGCGATAGAGGGTTATAAATGCCTATGTACATTTGTGACTTATAACTATGGACTCAACTGTTCTTATTAATGCTTACAATGTTTTATGTCTCATTGCAGATGACCGTGGTCATTGTTCAACATTAAAGACTTGTATGAATAAATAGACATTGTTTTCATTTAGTTATAAATATAACCTGGTTAATGTTTGTATTATTTTACCAATACATAGATCCTTTGTAATTGTTGGATCTTGAATTTGTTACATTATGGAACTTCATGTCATGAACGACATCGCTGAGCCGCTAGGACAAACAAAAATTGCAACTTATTTTCAGTCCTCTTGTTGAATTTTTTATCGATCCGACAAAGAATCATTTGAAATCTCAACCATATTCATAGGACTTTATAAAAGCACAGGCATATAGAGTTCTATTTACAATGTAATAATAACATGTGTTTACCAAAACAATATTAATTTTTGAATCGTTGTGGACCGACAACTTTCACGAATTCGGCTTAAATAATCTACGGAACTTTAACCATGTAATATTCCTTGACGTAATAAAATTCCATACACACTGGATAGAATATTATACAGAACTTATAAAATTCAACTAACAGAGAAAAGTGTGAATATTTTGATATTATTATAATATCGGAACTTATAAAATTCTTTGGAACCGGCAAATATTATGTTGGAACTTAAGCAACGAATATAGATTCCTATAACGCTTTAAGGGTGTCTTTATTTCTGTATTCTTGTGAACTTTTAGACCATTTTTTAAATTTTTTGTCCATTATTTTCTCTTTATATATATATATATATATATTTAAGCACCCCTCTATTCTCTATCCTCCTTTTTTTATAGCAGCCCAATTATTCTCTTTATTTTTGTTGCCCATTATTCTTTTTTTTGCCTTTTTTTCTTTTTTTTTTGCCCATTACTCTATATTATCTAAACACCATACAGACCCTCATTCATTATCCTGCACCAGCCAACTATTGTACAAATAACAGGTAAACAAACACATTTTTCTCCTGTCCCTCCGCTTTCATGTATTATACGGAAGCCGGTTAGTGTCAGGGGGAATGTTTTTTACATATAACTCGTTATACCGACTTGTTATACCGACTTAGCTAACTCGTTATAACTACTACGCGAAGCTAAATCGTTATAATGAGTTAGATATCTCGTTATAACGACTTAACTGACTCGTTATAACGACTTAACTGCCCCCTTAATATTTTGGCCTTGATTTATTTTTGCTTGTATTGTTATTTATAGATTTCTAAATTTGGTTTGAATATGGTCGTTTTTCGATTTTGCCATAACATTCATACAACATTTGCTTCGGTCCACGCTTTTACACCTCAATAAAATTACAAAAAAACACTCAATTCTTAAATACGCCAATAGCCCCAAAAGTAAAGAACATTTGAAAATTGCCATTCTGTGACTTAACGTTGATAAAGGAAACAAAATGACAGACATGCGAAAAAAACCTATCGAAATAAAAAAAAAATGTGTAACTGCCGCAAATATCACATAGTTTGTAATTATTTCGGATGTTTAAAAATTTGTGAATTTAAAAAAAATCTGCATGCCGTTATGTTTGAGATTTCGTCCAGTGGGTGGACGCAAGACCATTGCATAATGAAACTCGACAGCTGTCTTATCTGAATATAATAAATTAAAATAACAAAAAGCTGAACTTTTAGATTGTAAATTGTTTACTTTGCTGTTTAGGGTTTTAATAAAACACAAATTAAGATAATTAAAAGTTTACACAAGCCATTATTGTACTTTTATTTCCAATTATCTGATAAGTTAGTTTAGTCCAACGTTTTAATATCACAAAGATGCAGCTTCTAATACATCTTGCTGGTTGGATTACGTTAGTAGCTGGTATGTACATTACTTGAACAATTGTTTTGCTGTAAAACTAGTTTATAAGTATTTATCTATATATATAACTAAGAAGACTAACTCGATTCTTTGATCCGCGATCACGTTTGAATGGAAAGGCCTGAAAATCCGACTCTACTAAATTAATCAATACTGATAAATAAAAGTGCTGGTTGTTATTCAACACTGTTCTAAAGTTTTCTACCTGTAGGATCTATTTATACGTTATTTTATGATATCATGGAGTTGCTTACTTCGTACATCACCTAGTCCTTTAGGCCAAATGAGCGATTGCCATTATTTGGCGTCTGTCGTCTGGTGCCTTTCTTAGGTTTTAGAAGGTCTATGTCTTGTATCATCATATATATTTTTGGATTGTCTAGGTCTGGTGTCTTTGTTAGGTTTGAGAAGGTCTATATCTTGTTTCATCCTACATATTTTTGGATTGTATAGGTCTGGTGCCTTTCTCAGGTTTTAGATCGTCAAGATCTTGTATCATACTATACATTTCTGGATTGTCTCTGTCTTGAGTCTCCCTATTGTGTGGGAGTGTACTCATCTGGTATCATCTTATGCATTATTGGATTGTCTCTGTCTGATGTCTTCTTGTCGATTACATTGATTTTCCCGTCCTTGTATTGTGTTATGAATATTTGATATTCTGGTTTTCTTCAAGGCAAGTCGATTGTGGTTAGTAAAGGATGATCGGTTGTGCATATTATCATCTTTTCCTTTACATTTTTAACCGCTCTGGCTTTCCCCATGGAATGATTTTTTTGGCCCAGAAACCCTATATTTCTGACAAAAGGTTTTCTTGTTACAATTTCTTTTACATTTTAAATGCAGTAAACTCAAGTTTGCCCAAATATTACATTTAAAAAATCCAGAAATATTTTCCCCTTAAAAATAATTTTTAATTCTTCTAGTGCTTGTATTAAAAAACATATAATTTGATGCATAATAATTACATATTTTCTATTCAAGAATCGGAATTTCTGAAAATGTTGATATTCCAAATATCGATATCAAACATCTTAAGGTAAATCTATGGTTATACTCTAAAATCCCTTCAGTCTTCATTGACATCGGATTGAGCATAAAACCATCGTTAGTAATAAAAAAAAAACCTTTTCGATACATATGCACGTTCTGCTTAGGAGAAAATTGTGAAATTGTATCGACTTTTTTCTTACGACGAAATTAAAAGAAGGTGTCCCCAAGTAAGGAACTTCGTCAGTGGTTTTCTTTAGCCTGATTCCCTGTCCTTTATCTGGTTGCCTCTGACACGGATACCCGTATGTTGCAAGGGCTATAGCCAGTCTATGATTTTCTTTCGTTGAATCTTAGCTTAAAGGTTGCCTTTTATAAAATTCAGTGAGTGTTAGTGGTAATTCTTTGGTCGTATAAGTTAAATGTATTCACAACTTTACTAAACACGGTATATTGCAAGCTTTAAATATGATATATACATTTTCTTGCACTTGAGGACAATATGTTGACACCTAGGTTTTTTTTTTTGGAAAATTTTAT